ATTTCACACAAACTCTTCATTGCATTTAATTTACTCTTCATTTCAATCAATGAAACACTCATTAAATTTGAACACATTTTGTAAATCAGTCTAATATAAAATATTTTCAGCGCAAAACACGTGTAATCCATGCGTTTTATTCAAACAATGGATCGCTATTTGAGTTCACATTTTGCTTTTTATTTCAAAACTGCATTTTCATGACAACCAAAACCTGTTCCCAGATATCAATCATAAGATCTCATCAAAATTCACACAACTATATTAGACCTGTACTTAACGTCTTAATTAACATTTCAATTGATGCTATTGTTTATGGGTTACTATGCATCGGAATCTGAGGGCCAATATCGAGGGTATTGTCTGTGCGGACACTATATGTCTGACCACTTAAACCGTAATCGATGTCATTTTTGTATGCCATTCAAGCGATACCGTAATGTCAGGTATTATGGCTCAGGTATTGATGTTAATACAGTATTAATCCAATTATTGATAGGAACCGGTGGCTGTGCTGTGCGGACGTCAATCAATGTCTACTTCATTATCACATAACAGATCCACAGATGTTGTGGTCGAAGAGGTTTGCACTCATGGAAGACATGAAACACCGCTTCGAAGACTACACCAGAAGTGACATCAATTCAGACCACATCTGACTTGCATTCGCCCTAAGACTGCGATTATTATTGTTAATACGTTCTTTAAAATAGAAATAATAAGACCATGGTGATTAAATTTAATTGATTACTATTTTATTTTGATATTTATTATAAATAAAGTATATTTTTACATATGTTTTAAATAATTCATTAAAATAAAATTTTTCATATTACAATTAAAATAGAAAATTACAATATACAGTATATAAACACGATTATAAGTTATAATTTATAACTTATTAAAGATAATGATATAATTAAGTTGAGTGAGTTAGGTTATATATTTTAAATAAAATAATTAATCAATTATGTCTAAATTTAATATGCGATTGCAAACCATATTTCGTAACAAACCGTTGATTACAGTTATTATGAATACATTTATGAAGTTTTATATTATTATGTCTTTTCATATGCACTTTAAGGTTAGATTTTACAGAAAATGTTTTGTTACAATCTTTAAATTGACAAACAAATGGTTTTTCTCCCGAATGTATGCGTTTGTGTAAAAATAAATGCTGGTTTCTTCGGAATTTTTTGCCACACTTTTCTTCATTACATTTGAATTTCCTTTCATTCAAATGAACACATCTTTTGTGTTGCATTAAATCCGCTTTATATGCAAAACTTTTGTGGCATTCATTGAAATCACAAATAAATCTCACATTTAAATGAATATTTTTGTGTCGATTTAAGTCTGATCTCATTTTGAAGGTTTTATTACAATTATTAAAATTACATTTAAATTGTTTAAACTCCGAATGAACTAATTTATGTTCACTTAAATGTGGTTTAATTGTAGTCTTGTATTGACATTTCACACAAACTCTTCATTGCATTTAATTTACTCTTCATTTTAATTAACGGCACATTCATTAATTTTGAACACATTTTGTAAATCAGTTTAAAATAAATAATTTAAAATATTTGCAAAATTCTTTAAAAATTAATTACTTTCACAAAACACACTGTAATTAATGTATTGATGAAACACACGTGTTGTCGATGTGTTGAATGTATTGAGTCTATTGACTGGTATTTCTTTAATTGATTTCAACTTAATTTCCACGTGATTTCAAAATCCCATTTTTATGATAACAAAAACATATTTCCGGATATAAATCCTAAACTATCACTGAATTTACTCTATATTTGCACAAATTTTATTAATACTACAAAATAATAGTTAAATATGTAAACACAATTAATAAATTTTAATAGTTAATTATTATTAATTTACTTACTAACAATATATTTACATTTAAAATAATCTAAAATACTGATAAAATTGGTAATAATATTTTTAATTATTATTTTTATTGACATTATATTATGGAGCCATCAAAATGCATTCAAGGTGAAAGCTGCAGATAGGTGCAAATATATATAATTCAGTTCAGTTAGGTGCAATTCAGTATAATTAGGTTCAGCTTGGTGCAGGTCAGTCCGATATGAAACTCAATATATCTCAATTAACTTTACACAGACCTTAATAAATATACATTAGCAAACTTGGGTTATGTTAAGTATATGATATAAGATATACTGTAAATCTATGTACATGATTATAAAATCAATTAGTCACTATTAACAATGTAGAGTAAATAGTAAATAATACAAATTATCACACTATTTAATTAAAAATAATTTTAAATTGATTGACATTAAATCATGGAAATAAAATATAAAACATAACCGTAATGATTTTGTAAATATATTTGATTTTCAATAGATTTAAAATAAAAAATAGTACAAATATAAATTGTAATCATAAAATGTCAATATAATATTAAGTGTATATTTAAGTGTATATTTATAATCTAATCAGAAATTAAAAAGGTTATTATGGATACTAATGCATATAAATATATATAAATACAACTCGAATTGCTTTTATTTGTTGCTAATAATATATTTGCTAAAAATTAAAATATAATAAATGTAAAACATATTACGTAAAATAATAAAATAAAATGTTAATTTGTATGAATATTGTTACAATAATTATTTTACATTTTACATTAAATGTTGTGAATAGTATTGATGTGTCGACGAGTATAGGAGTAGTGAGGGGTCGGACACTACATGTGTTGGACACAAATGTGGATCAGTTTGTGGGCATTCCATACGCCGAACCCCCGGTCGGCAAACTTAGGTTCGCAAAACCCGAACCCATTATAAAGCCATTCCCCGTAAGTATTAAAATATTAAATTAATTTCATTAAATGTATCATGATAAATTTTAAATGTTTTAGGATATAATTGACGCAACAAAATCTAAAAATTCATGCTTACAAACACATCCATTTCCTATCAGTCCGGACTCACCCTTCAGTGAGGACTGTCTGGTGCTTAACATATGGACAACAAATACCACAGCATTAAAGCCAGTGATGTTTTGGATACACGGAGGGGCTCTCACTTTTGGCTCAATATTTCAAGATTGGTATAACGGGAGCGCTTTGGCCACCAATGGTGTGGTGGTCGTGTCCACTAATTATAGGTTAGGACAGTTGGGCTTTCTATACGGGGATCGGGAGGACGCGCCCGGAAATGTCGGCTTTTATGACCAGTTATTGGCTCTCAAATGGGTATCAATTTATCGCTTATTTTAATCAAAATTTTAAATCATTAATGAAATAATATATGAATTAATGACATAATAATAGGTTAGAGAAAACATTCACTCATTTGGCGGAGATAGGGATCAGATCACCATTTTTGGCCAAAGCGCCGGCAGTTGGTCCTTATCGGCACACATATTGTCTCCGCTTTCAAAGGGTCTGTTCCGGAGGGCTATTATGGAGAGCGCGGCCTTTATCTACAATAAGGATAGGGAAGTACTGAACAAAACTGAGGCCATATCTAATGGCAAAGCAATAGCGAAACAATTGAAATGCAATGAAACCGAGGATTGGATACAATGTCTGCGAAGAGCGGACGCCAGAGATATACTTAAATACGAGCCGTCGATAATCGCAAACCCGGTGTTTGGCACAGAATTTCTTCCTATTCGTGCTCAACAGGCTTTCACTGATAAAAAGTTTAATAAAGGTAATTATCAAATTTTCACATCTTTACTTATATACTTTATCTCGTATTAATGTAAATATATCTAGGAATGATAATTTAGATAATTAAAATAATTTATTAATTGGAAAGTTAGATTTTATTAATAATTATGTATTAATTTTTTCTTAATTTAATTTTAATGCTTTATATTAACCCACGTCTAATTGGCCTACATGTAACATGTGGGCCAATTGAAATTAATATTACAATTATTTTTTATACTACTGATGAGTATTGGCTGATCAATAATTTTACAATGTCTTGATTGATTAAAAGTCAAANGGCTGATCAATAATTTTACAATGTCTTGATTGATTAAAAGTCAAATTTACCAAGGTGAGTCAAAATTACCATCGACTCAATAGGTGGAATAAATGTTTTGCCACATCCCTTAATTTAATGGAGGGGGATGCATTTTCCCCCTGGGTCGCTGTGCGTTAAGTAAGTTTATTGTTCAAGATTTTACTTTTACAATATTTTAATAGCATGTAATTTTATCTAAATTATGTATTTTATTTGCATAAATATTACATTGAATTTCATTATAAAATTATAATTAAATCAATTCATAACACCCATAGAATTTATGTTACATATTACATTATTTTGTTATAAAATACATGCAATTAGATATTGATATAATGGCCGGAATCACCGGAGATGAGGGTGCATTATTTATCATGGGTATAATCAATGACCCGGCTCACATGACACTCAACGACTTTAACCAAGGGCTAAAAACACTCGATTATATGGGATATCATAACATCGATGTCAATAGAGTAACGGAATATTACCTAAAAGGTGTCAACACTAGTAGTCCGGCGGCACTGTTCTCGGCATTTAGCGCATTGGGAGGCGATATGTTTCTCACGTGTCCGACATATCTGTTCGCCAAACGGTTCGCACAAACTGTCAAAGAGTCGCAAAGGGTTTACTTTTACGAGTTGTTGTATAAAAGCGAGTGGTTTGCTAAACAGGCTAATTGCAGTGCGACCATGGGCGTTTGTCACTCAATGGAGATACCCTTTGTGTTTGGTTTACCACATATTTATCCCGACAATTATACCCCCGAAGACCTGTTTTATAGTAATGTTGTGATGAAATTGTGGACACAGTTTGCTAAATACGGGTAAATAACGGGTTTAATCTAGTTATCATTTGATGTTAACTCAATTTATTAAATAATATTTGAAAAATAAATAAATAATTAATATAATTATTTTCTAGTCATATGGACTCTGATTGGCCGCAACTGTTAAGCGATGACCCGAGCGGTGCGCCCAAAGTCCACGGTTTGGACCCAAAGGACTTACGGCTTGTACTCAATGACCCGTTTCATGAAACTTGTGATGGCGTGTGGGCTCACTATTTCCTATGAGACAAATTTTTTTGATTGTATCACATTTTAAAATCTAATATTTTAATTTGTTAAACATTTATATTAATCAAAATATATTTTAATTTGTTAAACATTTATATTAATCAAAATATATTTTACTATTTGTTATTAATGTAAATGGTTATTGCTGAAAATAAAAAATTTATCCTTATAAGTTAACTAATAAGTTCTTGTAAACTAACTCTTATTAATACCTTGGCCATCGATGACAGGTTAAAACAACAAGAATTATATTGGAAATTGTAACATTCTGTATTATTGTTTTAATAATGCAAGTTTATAAGCTACTAATTGATTATTTTTAGTCATTCTGCATTACCTAAGTTAATACGTTAGCAGCAAAGCCACCCAAATGCACTTAAAAAATAGTTTTCTTTGACTGTACTGTATATTATTTTAGTGTGTTTTATCATTTACATGTTTGCTTAGCAAATTATTTTATGATCAAGGTTATACAACTTTATCATCAAATACAATAGGTAATAGTGCTCACTTTCTTTTAAAATAACCTTGATAACTGATGACAATTCAAGACAATATGAATTGCATTGAAAATTGTATTATTCTGAATGTATGCCTTTATTGGTGCAGTTTTAAGACTAATTGATCATAGTAATTATTAACGATGCGATAATAACGTATTAACAACGATGTGATATTAACTTAATCAGTAGACAAACACAATGTACTAAAAATAATTTCTAATTGTAATGTGGGTCATATTTCAAGTGTTTTTATCAATCATTATTAAGATAGAGTTTAAGTGTTTACTTATTTATGCATTGTACTTTTAATTCCATATAAATAGGGATAGAATTATTAATAAAGTTTATTATTTATATATTTAATATTTACTTTTCCTAAGTTTAAATAATTATTTTTAAATAACAATAGAATCAGAAATAGTCAAGATGTTTAGCTTTAATTTTGCTACAATATCTATTTTATATTTCACATTAAATACTGTGAACAGTATTGATGTTCAGACGAGTATAGGAGTAGTGAGGGGTCGGACACTACATGTGTTGGACACAAATGTGGATCAGTTTGTGGGCATTCCATACGCCGAACCCCCGGTCGGCAAACTTAGGTTTGCAAAACCCGAACCCATTATAAAGCCATTCCCCGTAAGTATTATATATTTAATTGAATTAAGATAAATATACAATAAAATTATTATTTAAATATTATAAATATCAATAGGATATAATCGATGCGACAAAATTTAAAAATTCATGCATACAACCACCAAATATACATATGACACCACCAGGCTTAAATTACAGTGAAGATTGTTTGGTGCTTAACATATGGACAACAAATACCACAGCATTAAAGCCAGTGATGTTTTGGATACACGGAGGGGGGCTTACTATTGGTTCAATATTTCAAGATTGGTATAACGGGAGCGTTTTGGCCACCAATGATGTGGTGGTTGTGTCCGTCAACTATAGGTTAGGACCGTTTGGTTTCCTATTCGGGGATCGGGAGGACGCGCCCGGAAATATCGGCTTTTATGACCAGTTGTTGGGCTTAAAATGGGTATCAATTGATCTCTTGTCTTAATCATATTTTCTATTTAATAATGAGATAATATATTAGTTAATGATATAATAATAGGTTAGAGAAAACATCCACTCATTTGGCGGAGATAGGGATCGGATCACCATTTTTGGTCAAAGCGCCGGCAGTTGGTCCGTATCGGCACAAATACTATCCCCGCTCTCAAAAGGTATGTTTCAGAGGGCTATTGTGCAGAGCGGAGCCGCAATGTATAATAAGGACAGGGATGTGGTCAACAAAACTGAAGCCATATCTCAGGGCAAAGAAATTGCAAAACAATTGAAATGCAATGAAACCGAGGATTGGATACAATGTCTGCGAAGAGCGGACGCCAGGAATATAGTGAAACATATAAACATTTTCGCCACTTATCCGGTGTTTGGCACAGAATTTTTGCCCATTAGTGCCCGACAGGCCTTCAACGAGAAAAAGTTTAATACAGGTAATCAACCAATATGATTTTTAACACAATAGTATTATTATATCATGCAGTTTATTAATTAGTAAAATTAATTTTAATTAGTATTAGTTGCTAATTAGTAAATAATTTATAATAGTTTATAATTTTTGAATATATACAATATTTCAATATGAACTTTTACATTTAATATCATAATTACAATTACCGTAATTATTAAATAATGTTTTATTTTCATTTTATTTATATACATTTAGAAATTGATATAATCGCTGGTATCACAAAAAATGAAGGCGCATATTTTATTCCGCTTCTAATAAAAGACCCTGCTCATATGACACTCACCGATTTTAACAACGGACTAAAAACTATAGATTCTTTGGGGTTTCACAATATAAATGTGCCAAAAGTAACGGAACAATACCTGAAAAGTGTTAACACTAGCGATTCTATGGCCCTCTGGACAGCATTGGGGGCAATATATGGTGATATATATCTCGGTTGTACGACATATCTGTTCGCCAAACGGTTCGCACAAACTGTCAAAGAGTCGCAAAGGGTTTACTTTTACGTGTTGTTGTACGCGAGTAATTGGTTCGCAAAGCAGTTGGGTTGCGATGTAACGACCATGGGCATTTGTCACGGCAATGATGTACCTTTTGTGTTTGGTCTGCCATTACTTAACCCCAACGATTATATTCCCGAAGATATATTTTACGCTAATGTTGTGATGAAAATGTGGGCTAAATTTGCAAAAGACGGGTAAATAACAGTTTAAACAAATTAATTTAATAAAAATAGAAATATTGCCTGAATATTATATAGCATTCAATTTTCATGATTAATTTAGTCATATGGACTCTGATTGGCCACAATTTCTAAACGATGACCCGAGCGGTGCGCCCAAAGTTCGCGGTTTAGACCCAAAGGACTTACGGCTAGTACTGAGTGACCCGTTTCATGAAACATGTGATGGCGTGTGGGCCGACTACTTCTTATAGGCCAAAACAAATTACCTTAATGACATTTTAATATTTATTAATTATAAAAATTTTAATAATAAAAATAAATAAAATTGCAAAATTCTATTACACTAATAAAATACGGATAAACTTTAACAAATAATTTTTTCCTATTAATCTCATCTTGTGAAATTAATTAAATCCGATCTAGTATAAGTAATCATAATAATAATCTTACAAATTAAATTTAAGATTACAATAAATGAATTTTAAAAATAATAAATTTTGTTAAATATAAAACATTATTATCAGATATTTTGTATTATAAGTTATAATTTATAAGTTAAACAGTCATAGTATTTATACTAACTATTTTAACATTTATTTAAAATGTTGAATGTAATAAATTATTACTAATAATGCAGTGCTATAGTTTATGATTTACAATATAAACGATTAATTAACTGTGAAAATAACACTAAATAATAAACTTTAATTTATTTATAAGTCAACTTTATTAATTAAATTTTTGATTATATTCTAATTTTAATTTTCAAACAACGAATTAGCTAAAAATAAATTTACAATTGTTAATTATGTTTTTTTGTGATAAAACACTCATTATTTACTTATTATTCGGTCACTTAATTATCACTACATGTACACAATGTGTAACTAAAGATGTGTAACAATGTGTACACGTGCACTAAAATGATATTATCTGCACAGTAGGTACTTTTATGGAAACCAGTTAAACCACTTAAAAAGTGTACAAATAAACTAGAAAATTGTATATAAACGTATCAGAACGACTGAGACTATAACTTCTAATTTTGTTTAATTTGATTGTGCTATATTATTTTAAATTTAGAATTAGCATGTGCAATTATAAAATTGTTAAAATATTAATTTTATATTTCACATTAAATAATGTTCGCTGTATTGATGTGTCGACGAGTATAGGGGTAGTGAGGGGTCGGACACTACATGTGTTGGACACAAATGTAGACCAATTTTTGGGCATTCCATACGCCGAACCCCCGGTCGGCAAACATAGGTTCGCAAAACCCGAACCCATTTTAAAACCATTTCCCGTAAGTATTATATAAGTTATATTACAAAACAACATTTTATTGGTATAAAAGTTTATTAAAAATAAATTTAGTTTACGCTAATAACGACTGTAATAACATAACTATATTATAAATTGTTGTAAACTTACAAATTATCATAACTTCTAGAATATAATCGATGCAACAAAACTTAAATATTCATGCATTCAACCACCAAACATATATATCAAACCGGAATTACATTACAGTGAAGATTGTCTGGTGCTTAACATTTGGACACCAAATACCACAGCATTAAAGCCAGTGATGTTTTGGATATACGGCGGCGGACTTACTATGGGATCGATATTTCAAGAGTGGTATAACGGGAGCGCTTTGGCCACCAATGATGTGGTGGTTGTGTCCGTCAACTATAGGTTAGGACCGTTTGGTTTCCTATACGGGGATCGGGAGGACGCGCCCGGAAATGTCGGACTCTATGACCAGTTATTGGCTCTCAAATGGGTATCAATTGATCTCTTATTTTAATTATAAATTAAATTTTTTAAATAAAATAATATACTAATTATTGAAATAATAATAGGTTAGAGAAAATGCCCATACGTTTGGCGGAGATAGGGATCAGATCACCATTTTTGGTGAGAGCGCCGGGAGTTGGTCGGTGTCCGCACACATACTCTCCCCGCTATCCAAAGGCCTATTCAAGAGGGCTATTATGGAAAGCGGGGCTCTTATGTTCAATAAGGATAGGGATTTGGTCAACAAAACTGAAGCCATATTAAAGGGCAAAAATATTGCCAAACAATTGAAATGCAATGAAACCGAGGATTGGATACAATGTCTGCGAAAAGCGGACGCCAAAGATATAGTGAAATATGAAACCACCATGTTCACTTCCCCCGTATTAGGCACTGAATTTTTACCGATATCTGCCCAACAAGCATTTGATGAAAAAAGATTTAATACAGGTAATTTAAAACAATAATTAATTTATATTTAACAAAAATCCATTAATTTCTACTTCATTATGATATACGTCCATAATTTACTAATCATGTGTAAATAACATTAACTTTAATTAGATATTGACTTAATTGCTGGTATCACTCGAAACGAGGGCATAGGATATGTCGCCCAGCCTCTGGTCGCCCACCCGGAGCGCATGACACTCACCGACTTTTACAACGGGGTTAAAGCCATGGATTCTTTGGGTCTTCACAACATAAATATACCGAAAGTGACGGAACATTACCTTAAAGGTGTCAACACTAGCGATCCGGCGAACTTACGGACGGCGTTAGGCGCAGTAATGGGCGATATATTTCTCGGTTGTCCGACATATCTGTTCGCCAAACGGTTCGCACAAACTGTCAAAGAGTCGCAAAGGGTTTACTTTTACGAGTTGTTGTACGCGAGTAATTATTTTGGTAAACAAATGGCTTGTGATGTGCCGACCATGGGCATTTGTCACGGCAATGATGTACCATTCGTATTTGGTTTACCATTACTTAATTCCGACGATTATACTCCCGAAGATATCTATTACAGTAATGTTGTGATAAAAATGTGGACTAAATTTGCAAAAGACGGGTAAATAATAGTTGTAAAAATTAAATCACAATAAACTTATATGATTATAAATTTAATCTACATAGAAATATTGCTTGAATATTATATTAAATTTAATTCCTATCATCAATTTAGTCGTATGGACTCTGATTGGCCACAATTACTAAACAACGACCCGACCGGTGCGCCCAAAGTCCACGGTTTAGACCCAAAGGACTTACGGCTAGTACTGAGTGACCCGTTTCATGAAACATGTGATGGCGTGTGGGCCGACTACTTCCTATAGCAAATACCCTGATGATCACAGAAAACACGTTTTAAAGACATTTTAAAATTTAATATTGTTACGTTAATTAAAATAATAATCTAATAAATGAACATTGTGAATGTTTTTTTGTTCTATAAAAAATAATACTGCTTCAAAAATAAAACGTTAAAACAACATTTTATTCATACACTAGTTATATAGTATGTAAGAATGTATGGTAAACCTTACGCCCCAACCCCTGGACGCCCAGCCCTAACCCGTGCGCCCAAACTCTATGACAATTTTATACTAAGAATTGTGTCAATAATTGTCAACACATTCTCTATTTTAATCATTTGTGAAATACTTTTCACACGAATTTCCATTTCATGATATTTTCAGAAAAACACTTTCTTATTTACTACATAATAAACTTAGCCGGATTACAAATAAAGATCATATCAATCTTATATAAACGTATCGTAATGTTTAAAATTCAATTAATTATAAGAATTGTTATGTTATGAGTTTGATGTATTATTAAATTAATTATTAAATATTATTAAATTAAAAACAATATGTTTAGCGTTTATAAAATTGTAACATTCATTTTATATTTCACATTAAATAATGTTCGCTGTATTGATGTTTACACGAGTATAGGAGTAGTGAGGGGTCGGACACTACATGTGTTGGACACAAATGTGGATCAGTTTGTGGGCATTCCATACGCCGAACCCCCGGTCGGCAAACTTAGGTTCGCTAAACCCGAACCCATTTATAAACCATTTTCCGTAAGTTTTATATTTAATACAAAACAACATTTTATTGATATAAAAGTTGATTAAAAATAAATTGAGTTTACGCTAATAACGACTGTAATAACATTACTAGCTTATTAATTGTTGTAAACTTACAAATTATCATAACTTTTAGGATATAATCGATGCGACAAAAATATGGACATATTATATTAAATACATTTAATATTATTTAAAATATTTATTTATTTTATAATTTGATATAATAATAAAATTTTAATAAAATAATTCATAACAAATGCAAATTATTATTACAAAAGATAATCGATGCAACAAAGCCTAAAAACTCATGCCTATCACCGATTCAATTAACTCTGGACTCACCCCTCAGTGAGGACTGTCTGGTGCTTAACATATGGACAACAAATACCACAGCATTAAAGCCAGTGATGTTTTGGATATATGGAGGAGGGCTGGCAGCAGGGTCAATATATGAGCCACAGTTTAATGGAAGCGCTTTGGCCACCAATGATGTGGTGGTTGTGTCCGTCAACTATAGGTTAGGACCGTTTGGGTTCCTATACGGGGATCGGGATAAAGCAGTGGTAGACCAAAAACAAATACTATATCCATGCCGTGACAAATGCCCATGGTCGATATATCACAACCACTATAGTTGGCAAACCATTCACTCGACACCAATGATGTGGTGGTTGTGTCCGTCAACTATAGGTTAGGACCGTTTGGGTTCCTATACGGGGATCGGGAGGACGCGCCCGGAAATGTCGGCTTTTATGACCAATTATTAGGTTTAAAATGGGTATCAATTCATCGCATGTTTTAGTCATATTTTCTATTTAATAATGAAATAATATATTAATTAATGACATAATAATAGCCTACTATTAATAGGTCAGAAAAAACATTCACTCATTTGGCGGAGATAGGGATGAGATCACCATTTTTGGTGAGAGCGCCGGGAGTTGGTCGGTGTCCGCACACATACTCTCCCCGCTATCCAAAGGCCTATTTAAGAGGGCTATTATGGAAAGCGCGGCTCTTATGTTCAATATAGACAAGGATGTAGTCAACAAAAATGAGGCCCTATCTCAGGGCAAAGCAATTGCCACACAATTGAAATGCAATAAAACCGAGGATTGGATACATTGTCTGAGAAGAGCGGACGCTAACGATATACTCAAATATTGGGACCCATTCGCCACTCACCCGGTATTTGGCACAGAATATCTGCCCATTCGCACACAACAAGCATTTAATGAAAAACAATTTAATACAGGTACTGTATATTTAAAAAGTAAATATTAATTTAACATTAATTGTTTAGTTTAACACAATTACATACATGATTGGGCCTACAACTTTATGTAACCCTGTATAAATATTTAAGTTTACATTGTCAAAACACAAGGCAAAATAAAATATAGCCCAAACATATTACCATGTTGTATTGTATTAATTCACTAATTTTGAAACTCTTACTCAAACTCACAACAATTTAATATAATATTATTTAATATGCAATTAATTAGATGTTGATTTAATCGCTGGTATTGTACGCAACGAGGGCTCAGCATTAACTGGAAGTGCGATCAAGGACCCTGATCATATGACAATTACTGATTTTTATAACGGAATGAAAGCATTCGACGTATTAGGTTATCACAACTTGAATGTAACGAAAGTGGCGGACCATTACTTGAAAGGTGTCAACACTAGCAGTCCGGCAGCTCTACTCCAATCGTTTAGCTCACTTGCGGGGGACCTAACAATTGGTTGTCCGACATATTTGTTCGCCAAACGGTTCACACAAACTGTCAAAGAGTCGCAAAGGGTTTACTTTTACGAGTTGTTATACGCGAGTGAATGGTTTGCCAACTATAGTGGTTGTGATATATCGACCATGGGCATTTGTCACGGCATGGATATAGTATTTGTTTTTGGTCTACCACTGCTTTATCCCGATGTTTCCACTCCCGAAGATATCTATTATAGTAAAGTTGTGATAAAAATGTGGACTAAATTTGCAAAAGACGGGTAAATAATAGTTTTTAAAAATTAAATCACAATAAACTTATATCTAAATCTTTACATTGAAATATTGCTTCAATATTATATTACATTTAATTCTCATGATCAATTTAGTCAAATGGACTCTGATTGGCCACAATTTCTAAACAATGACCCGACCGGTGCGTCCAAAGTCCACGGTTTAGACCCAAAGGACTTACGGCTAGTACTGAGTGACCCGTTTCATGAAACATGTGATGGCGTGTGGGCTCACTATTTCCTATAGCAAATACCCTGATGATCACAGTGAACATGTTTAAAAGACATTTTACAATTTACTATTTACGTAAATTAAAATAATAATCTAATAAACAGACATTGTTAATATTTGTTTTTGTCTCTTAAAATAAAACATGAAAACGTTAAACATAATATCACAAACAATATGTTTATAACAAATTCAAACTATCTTTATGTCACTACTTGTCAACACATTCATTATTTTAATCATTTGTGAATCAAGTATCACATGAATTTCCATTTCAAGGCATTTTGTGATAAAACAATTTCTTATTTGTTGCCTAATATACTTACCCGGATTACCAATAAAGATAATATCAAGCTTGTATAATCGTATCGTAATGTTTAAAACTCAATAAGTTATAAGTATTGTTATGTTATTTTTATGTTATGTTAGATATGATTTTTATTTATTATAAATATTATTAAATTAGAAACAATATGTTTAGCGTTTATAAAATTGTAACATTAATTTTATATTTTACATTAAATGTTGTGAACTGTATTGATGTGTCGACGAGTATAGGAGTAGTGAGGGGTCGGACACTACATGTGTTGGACACAAATGTGGATCAGTTTGTGGGCATTCCATACGCCGAACCCCCGGTCGGCAAACTTAGGTTTGCAAAACCCGAACCCATTTCTAAACCATTTCCCGTAAGTATTATATAAATAACTTATTTAGTACATAATTTAAGAAAACAATTTAATAAACTTATAATATAAAGTGCATTATAAATAAATTTTAACATTTTATTTTTACAAATGCAAAACATTATTGAAGAACATAATCGACGCAACAAAGCCTAAAAACTCATGCCTATCACCGATTCAATTAAGTCCGGACTCACCTCTCAGTGAGGACTGTCTGGTGCTTAACATATGGACAACAAATACCACAGCATTAAAGCCAGTGATGTTTTGGATATATGGAGGAGGGCTTGCAGCAGGGTCAATATATCAGCCAGAGTATAATGGAAGTGTTTTGGCCACCAATGATGTGGTGGTTGTGTCCGTCAACTATAGGTTAGGAGCGTTTGGTTTCCTATACGGGGATCGGGAGGACGCGCCCGGAAATGTCGGCTTTTATGACCAGTTATTAGGCATGAAATGGGTATAATTAATACCGTATTAATGTTTTAATCATATGTTTATTAATGAAATAATTTATTAATTAATGACATAATAATAGGTTAGAGAAAACATTCACTCATTTGGCGGAGATAGGGATCGGATCACCATTTTTGGTGAGAGTTCTGGCAGTGAGTCGGTGTCCGCACACATACTCTCCCCGCTATCGAAAGACCTATTCAAGAGGGCTATTATGCAAAGCGGGGCCAATATGTACAACAGGGACAGGGATGTGGTCAACAAAACTGAGGCCATATCTCAGGGCAAAGCAATGGCTAAAGGATTGAAATGCAATGAAACCGAGGATTGGATACAATGTCTGCGAAGAGCGGACGTCAAAGATATACTCAAATATTGGGACCATTTCGACACTTACCCGGTGTTTGGCACAGATTTTCTGCCCATTCGCACACAGCAAGCATTTAATGAGAAAAAGTTTAATACAGGTACTGCATGATAAAAAGTAAATACCTGAATAAATTATTTTATTAAAAATGAGTGTATATTTACATTAACATTATTGTATACGCAATTAATTAGACATTGATCTAATCGCTGGTATTACCCAAAACGAGGGCTCATCATTTACTAAGGCTATAATTAAAGACCCTGCTCATATGACGCTCGCCGATTTTAACAATGGGATAATAGCATTTGATTTATTGGGTTATCACAACTTAAATGTGACTAAAGTGACGGACTATTACTTGAAAGGTGTCAACACTAGCAGTCCGTCAGTTCTACTACAATCGTTTAGCGCACTCGCGGGTGACCTACCACTTGGGTGTCCGACATATCTGTTCGCCAAACGGTTTGCACAAACTGTCAAAGAGTCGCAAAGGGTTTACTTTTACGAGTTGTTGTATAAAAGCGAGTGGTTTGCCAAACAGAACAATTGTAGTGCGACCATGGGCATTTGTCACATGTCGGACATACCATTTGTGTTTGGTTTACCATTACTTGATCCACACAATTACAGTCACAACGATATCTATTACAGTAATGTTGTGATGAAAATGTGGTCAAAATTCGCCACTTATGGGTAATTTAACTTATTTTATAATTAACATCTTAATCAAGATAACTATAATAAGTTTAACCACTATACTGTGCTGTAAATCCGTTTATATTTAAATATATTTAAATTTATTTAAAAATATTTAAATTTATATCCGTTTAACTACATTAATTTTAATAATATCCAAAATTATAGCATTAAAAACGCAACTTTACTTAAATTAACAATATACTTATGCTCATGATGATTTTAGTCACATGGACTCTGATTGGCCGCAACTGTTAAACGATGAGCCGATGGGTGCGCCCAAAGTCCACGGTTTGGACCCAAAGGACTTACGGCTCGTATTGAGTGATCCGTTTCATGCAACTTGTGATGGCGTTTGGGCCGACTATTTCCTATAAAAAATTAATTTTAAGTTAGTTATTAATTTCCAATAACCATTGTAATTTGAAAACGTTATTTCACAAAAAATATATTTTATATTGAAAAATTTATTGGTGCATAATTTGTTACTAAAGTGTTACACGACGAGGAGACTGACGTTTATATCAAGTCAATATGAATAAATAATATAATAAAATTTTATTCATATACCTCAAGATGGTGTTACTATAATTGCGTGAATTTAGATAACTTGAAAAAAAGTAAAATGTGACATTAGGGGGATTTATAATATCCATAACTAATTTATCATATTTTATCATTAGAAATATTATTACATCACTTTCACCAAATGCCATATTGAACAAATAATAGATTACAAGTTTTAGTTTTAAATATGTTTCATAATATGAGAAATGGCATATTCTTAAGTATGTCAAAAGGATTAAATGTGCATATAATAGTATACTGTATTTACAAAAGTGAGCCTTATCACAAATGATTATGCACAGAATGTGTACAATTGCACTACTATTTATGTATGTGTACGCTGTATATTGTCAGCTAAAAAATACCTTGTATATTAATTTAGTTATTATACCGCTAATTATGATAGTTTCAGACCTTATGTACTCATATGTTATGCCGTATGACTTGTAATATATTTTCGCGCGATTCTCATTGACTGTACGAGTGTTATGTAATGCATTAGCCGGGAGTTAAGTCCTGTGCCTAACCGACTGAAACACCATCAGTCGCCTAAACAATTGCTATCAAATGAATGTATACGGGAAGTGGTGTCCCGATTCCATACAAAACACATTATAACTTAACAGTTATTGCTTTACAGAGAATTGACTCTATATTGAATATAGAGTCAGATTCTGGTATACAGTCATAAAACAAGAACCGCGCCCTATGAGTCATCACTGATGAGTCATCAGTAGATACAGAATCTGCGCTAACTATTAACACTCTTAACGCAAGTCTTATAACATAGCAGTAACCAATCCTAAATTAAACAAACATTAAGACATGATGTCAGTCGCAGTAACACTTATATGGAGTATAAAAGATGTTGTTTTCTTAGCTCTCTTCCCTCGCTTTTGGGTCTTTACTTAGACCTCTCAGTTCACGTCACTCAGTTACAACTTGTATTATTTTAGACTTAGAGTTAGAGTTTATTATCATATTGTTTGTGTGTTAGCGGCAATCTGGTGAACACATTGTGCGAGTCTTACATTCATTGTAAATCTACACTTCGTTTCATCTTAATGTAAGCTTATGAATATTCTTTATATTTAATAAATATCTTTTAAACTTAATTCTGTATATAATTATTTGCGCTACAATAATTATATTATATGTGAGCCCTATGTGGCTTCACCTTAAGTCGGGGGTTACCGATTATATTTAATTCACTGGTACGAATGCTACGATCAGACCAACTAAAGGGTTGAAGTGTTCAGTCAAATAGCTGAACACATATTCAATAATAAGTGTTGCCTAACTATAGGCTTGTATTTATTCTTAATATTAATTGATGTTTGTAATGTATTGTGATGTCTTGTCTTGTCTTGTACTTTAATTATATTTGATGTTATGGCCTACGAAGGTTTGACCATATTGAATGACCAACACGTTTAATGTTTGATGTTAAAAACTAAATCTTACGGTTGTCCTGTATAATTAACCGTTAGTGGGAAAGTCGCAGCACCACTATTGAATAGCTGACACTTTTAATTCTTATATTTCTCTATTTAATTATATTAATATTTATTACCGAACTATAGCGTAATAACTCGCATAGTTTCTAATGTCATTAACAAACCTAATCTTATTCCTAAATTCTGGTATTGAGTCTCTCTTAAACTCAAAGAATAAATAGTTTAAGGCGAAGCCTTAACTATAAGTGTGTTTTAGAGTAAAGTCTGATCAAACCGAGCAAAAGATACCCGAGAGGACATGACCCGCACTGTTGGACAGACGCGGGCAATAAGATAAGTCAATCGTATTAGCCCCTGATAGCAGTATTCCTAATAATAGCAGAATGCTATCGCATTATAGAGTATATACTATAAAGCGGGTAGCTTCCCGCGGCCCGCTGGCCACCGACGCTTCGCCATTGCGGTCGACCAGTCTGGCCATGTTCTAACATTTCATTGAAGAGATTGGTTGGTAATTGCGGGGTTGTATTAGATTAATATACCCAGAACAACGGGATTCTGTATGGAAACCTATGGTGATAGAGTGTTACGTAATTACCCGAATTGCGGGAAATCTAAGTCTTCGACACGGGTCGGAAACTACTTTAATTCATTCATTATATTGTATTTAATAATTTAAGCCACATTAGATTAAAATATCGTAGTGGCGTATCCTTAATTTTTAGCCAAATTAAGGATACCATTTCCCATATACTTTTCATATATTATATCTAAATTCTGTATGTATTGACATACGAGCGGTTCTCCAAAACCGCCTTGAATTATATTGTATTATACTTAATATTATAATTATTATTAACCCTATATTTATTAGTGGCGTAGCCCTAATTTTACACTAACTGTAAAATAGCGTCAACAAAAGGTAGATTCTTATTTCATAGGTTTCTATACATGACAATATAATGTGCTCTCGCACTACGGTACATTTAAACTTAATGATTTTGTAATAATTGTCTATTTGTAAAAACAACTTGTGGTAATGTTTTCCGTGAGCTAAATGAACAGGCAGTTAAATATTTACAAAAACTATTTAAACTTAAATAAAGTACACAATTATCACATAATAAACTTACCCGGATTATCAATAAAGATAATGTCAATCCTATATAAACGTATCGTAATGTTTAAAACTCAATAAGTTATTAGAATTCTGTTTAACTTGATTTTGATATATTATTAATACTATTAAATCAAAAACAATATGTTTAGCGTTTATAAAATTGCAGTAATATTTATTTTATATTTCACATTGTATAATGTGTGCTGTATTGATGTGAACACCACTATAGGGGTAGTGAGGGGTCGGACACTACATGTGTTGGACACAAATGTGGATCAGTTTGTGGGCATTCCATACGCCGAACCCCCGGTCGGCAAACATAGGTTTGCAAAACCTAATCCAATTAATAAACCATTTCCCGTAAGTTTTATATATAATACAAAATATCACTCTAACTCGTAAAATCATATTAAGCATGTGTTAATAAGTATATTTTATTTACATTATAATAACAATATAATACTGGATTACTACAATAATTAATAAATATAATTATTTTTATTATATTTTAAAAATTCTATTATTATTAGGATATAATTGATGCGACAAAACCTAAAAACTCATGCATACAACCCATGCAAATGAGTCCGGACTCACCACTCAGTGAGGACTGTCTGGTGCTTAACATATGGACGAAAAATGTGGAGGAATTAAAACCAGTGATGTTTTGGATTCATGGCGGGGCCCTTAATGTGGGATCAATATTTCAAGAGTGGTATAACGGGAGCGCTTTGGCCACACATGAGGTGGTGGTTGTGTCCGTCAACTATACAGAGCTGTCACCCTATTTGTCCAATTTTTGTTATATTTTGATTTATTTAATTTTAAAATGAAAACGAATAATCTTTTAAATCTATATGGTTTAGGTTTTTATGTACTTATATCTAGTGTA